CATTCTGGTTAATGGGACAGAAAATCCACCCACAATGCTGCCTTTCCTTCCCAGTGGAATCACAATGATAACAAAGTAAATAAGCAACAATTTGTAACACTCAGCATCAGTGCCCTGAGAGAGTGGCCCCGTCTACCAAATGGCAGGGCTGGCCCTGCAACTGATTCAAGCAAAGGAAGGCAGATCCTAACAGGTTGTCTTCATGCTGTTAAAAGCTTCACCTCCTGTTTTCTGTAGATCAAGAAAGCCACAGTATTTGTTTCTGGTTAGCTGGCCGATAAATTCTCTCCCCCCCCCAATTCTGGTGCCACTGCAAGCTGTCCACAAAGATTAGGATGGTGGATGTTATTGTCCAGCCCACCCAGAAGCTACCATGTTGGGAAAGGCCGGTCTACCACCACAGACAGCAGGACTGTAAAAGCTCACCTCTTGCAGATGTACTGCTTTCTGTGACTTCAGGCTGCCAGCACATCCATGTTTGCCCTCAGAGTGAGGGAATGAGGAATGTCTCTGATGATGGGGTATTATTTAGTTCTCAGCCAAGCTGGAAAAGGCTTCATGATTGGGGACATGGTGCAGGACATTTTGAAAACCACCCTAGCTCTGCCCAGTTGGTTTGGAATATATCTCAAGATAAACAGCTGTTTCAAACAAATCCTTAGAAACGCAGCCCTTGTCATTTGTGATGAAGCCCTGAGAAGCAGGAACCCAGTACAGTGTTTCCAAAGCATCTAGTCACTGTGTTTAGAGTTACCGCATTCCTGATCAGTCCACAGTTGTTAGTTAATTACCAAGTAACGGTTGAGGAAAGTAACCTTTCCTCTGGACTCTTATGAAATTTCAGAAGTCAGTAATACTAACATTTGTCTCCCCTTCTTTCTTTCCTTCCTTCCATAACATATGACAGAGACAATAGAACATGGGAAATTAAGGGCAGGTTAAAACAAAGCCTAGAAACTACTTAACACTCGGCAAAGACATTTGTAAAGTTAAATTTCGTGCTGACAAATTCACATGATCGTAAGACAATGGCATTTGAGGAGCTCAGGGGAATAATTTCTAGCACAATAAATAAACCATAAGGCAGAAAAATGGTCTTTCCCCAAGAAACAAAGGAGAAATAAATATCCCAAGAAGGCTCATTAAAAAAAAACAACAACAAGTCTCTGGTATCAGCGTCACAGGAGAGCAGATGGCGTTGCCGTGAGTGTCCTAGTGAAAGGGGTATGTGTACCTCGCTGGCTTTACCGAGGCAGCTGGCACAGCCTTTCAAATACAGCCTTTGACACAAACAGTGTCTCTGTTGAAATCCAAGGCCGAGCGATGACATTTTCTCCAGTTAAAACAAAAGAAAGGTTTACGTTGACTCACCAGTATCTCCAAATCATGGGCTTTCTTTTAAATGGATTCTAGCCCTCATGTCATCAAGAGACCAGTGGAGGCAGTGGAGGCACAGTCATGTCAACGAGTAAAAGAGCTGCAGCACTAAATATAAAGAAAGCTGGGTAACTTGTATGTTGCCATTATTTGCCATTTGCTTTTGACTCAGAAAGCTTTAAAGTAGCCTACAACACAAACCCTTAATGATAAAACAGGCATCAATGCTAACATATACATCAACAAAGATTCCCTTTAAAACAAACCATGTAAATATGCATATAAATCATATGAAAACAACAATAACAGAAAGCGTTACGTTGGCAGTCTTCCTCTCATGTCTTTTTGTCAATATACAGAGGGCAAAGCAACCCAGAAGAAAAAATAGGAAGGCTATTTCATCTAAGCATGGACATTTTAAAAGTTCTTCGCTATTATCGTTTTGGACGGTCCCCACCATTTACAAATACAGTATGAAGACTAGAAATTGCATTAAAGATTAAAATGGAGGATTCATGGATTTCCCTGTGCCCTGCCTTTTTAAGATCAGAAGCTTGCAATATCACAGAACCACCCAGCACACATCAATATTTTTTCATCCATTACTGCCCTCTCCCAAATCCACAATGTCTGAAACTGGTAGAGGTTCTTTAAAGCTAAAGCTTCACAATGGGTGATAAAAGAACAAGAGCTGGCTGGGCAGGTGTTTCCCCCACAACATTATCTTCATAGCAAGAAAAGTTTCATCTAAACATCTGCCTGTTAGGCTATTGCTCAAGACACAGGTGAAAAACTGGGGGACCTTATTTTCTCCATTACAGATAAGTCTGTTGTAACCATAGGTTGTATGCAGGTGTAGCTCTATGTATAGTGGGAAACTAGACCATTCTGAAGGTCTCTCTTGGGTCTAACATCCACAATATGAGCAAACAACTCTTAACCCTTCTACCTTTCCACTTTATTCATTCTAGATTTTGTTTATAATTTAATACCATGCATCTAAAATATACACCATTAGCCATCTTAGCTTCAGATTCATCCTATTGATAGATGTTCTCATTTTGTGCACCTCCTAAGGAACCTGATGCATTTATGTAATTAGATTTCCCCTGGTGACTCTAACAGCTCCATGGAATATATTGTTATTGTTATCATATCCACAAATAAAACACCATGTGTTAAACTAATTCAGTTGGTAGATTATCTGCTGGTTTATATAGTGGTCCCAATTAATGCCTATGGAAAGGACTTTGAGACAACATTCAAACATAGGCAGAGTCTAGCCTACTGTCATAGATCGTAGCAAGAAGCTAATACCTGGAGTTAGAAACTGGTAAGTGAAGGCAGAATGAGAAAAGGAAGTGATGGCCACTGAAGGTGAAACAGGATCTGGGACAGGGTGATGAAGCACAGAGAATGGTTTAGGCTACTTGAGATAGCAACTGTTCATTGAACTAACAGAAGCTTCAGCAAGCCTTCTTCCAAGCAAATTACAGCACCCATTCATAAATATCCTGCTTCAGCTGAAGCCAGACTTTTAGAAGATGAGGATGTGTGACTGCTTCAGCCAGAATGAGAGCACATTGTTGGATGGTTGTGCCACTGTTGTACACATCAGATTTATATCTATGGCTGCTGGTCCAGCCAAACAATGTTGAGGAACACCTGTGGTTCTCCAGATGGTATTGGATTACAGTTCCCATTATCCTGTCCATCTGGAGCTTGGGAGAAGTTGGAGCCCAACCATATTTGGACAGCTGTGGTTTCTCTACTCCTGCAGTAAATGATACCTGAACAAAAGATTTGTGACAAAGTGATGGGTTTATCACAGAATCAAAGTTTCCCCGCAGACTCTATTTCTTTGCTACTGCCTGTGTAAATCATAAGATGATTAAGTAGTTCAGGGGGCAGGCAGAAGCTATGCATTGTTCTGTCAAGCCTGCCACAGAAATACTGCTTTTCTGCTTCCCTTGCTTGATATTAGCATGAAAACAGATCTGAATCAACATTTAATGGCATTGGTGGAATTATGTAAGAAAGAATAAAGTTGTATATCCATTTCAAGTAACCTTACTATCTGTATTTAACCAACCCTACTCCTTATTGTTATCATTTAAAAAAAAACCTAGAGGGAACAAATTATAAGAAAAAAATATAGAAAATACTATTAAGGAATAGTACAATTTTTGCTTTTCTAGCACACACTCCTCTCTATTGCAATGGTTCCCAACCTTGGGTAACCCAGGTGTTTTTGGACTGCAACTCCCAGAAATCTTGGCTGGCACATCTGGTGTTGAAGGATTTTGGGAGCTGTAGTCCAGGAACATCTGGGTTACCCAAGGTTGGGAAACAACGTCTTCCAGCCTGAGTGCTATTTGACTTTTTCCTGGACATCAAGACCTGACGTCTGTGATGGTATCTCTCTCTCTCTCTCTCCTCTATCAAACTCCCCCCCCAAAAAAACTCCACCCCTTCTTTGAAACCAAAGTGCTCCTAGGATACTTTGGCAAGGCAGGTTACCTTTCCTATGTGTCAGAAGGTGAATATGTGTCCTTAGCTGGAATATGTGCCCTTAACACCAGTTGTTTAAATGGAGGTGCAGGCTTGATGTAGGCAAGAACTTATCTAGGTCTTCTGATTGGCTCAGGGGGGCACAGAAGTTCTACACCCCTTGAAAGCAATTATTGCATCTCAGGGCCAAACCAGAGACAGCTACAGAGAACTCACAATTAGAAAAAGGAATTTTCTAAGTGCCAAGACCATCTGATTGTCATAGCAGGAACTTTCACATATATCTGTAGTTTGCATGTTAGCTTGTTTTGTTTTGTGATTGATCTTTGAAAGCAAATACTGCTTCGCCCACAAACGTGGTAGCTCAATCATGAAACTCCATTGGGATCACATCTCTGGAGTGTGAACATTAACAAACTTCTTGCCCTGGGATACTATAGCCCAACATGTAGCTTGTATAGTTTGGCTCTCAGTGGCACGCTGTGATTCTTTTCTGATAGCAGTTTCTTCTGCAATGATCAAATTGCCCCTGACTTTCTATTTTATATCAGAATTTGCCTAACTACCCATACACAGGTTCAAGATATAGAAATGTTACACCTATTTTATCATGGCTCATCTGTCCATACTCATATTTGGACCTCTGAATCCTAACAGCCGAACTGGCTTCCATGGTGTTGAGGATCAATTTTGCTATTTTGTCCTTCCCACCAGGGAAGAGGAGAAACAAGCCATAGTAAATTCATGGAAAATTGGAAGCCATTATTAAAATATGCCGACAAAATAGACTTTGAGACATGTGGTTTGAAAAGAAATTTAGATTGTTGGTCAATATTTCTTTAAATGGTGAAGGGGAATGGTATATATGTGAGTTGGAGAAATGTGGGGAATTTACTATTTGCAATACGGTCGATTGTTTCTTCATTCTTTAGAAATAAATAAATAATTAAAAAAAGAAAATAAAAAAATTGTCCTTCCCACCAACTTTCCCTGCTTCCCGCCTCTGCACAATGATTTATAGGAATAGTAAATTTCTAGAGTGTATGTGATTTAATATAATAATCATGTGCTGTTATGGCAATCCCGACTTATGGTGACCTGTTCTCAGAGTTTTCCAGGTAGAGAATACTCAGAAGTGGTTTACCATTCCCTTCTTCTGAGGGTGCCCTAGGACTGTGCAGCTTGCCCAAGGCTTTATTTGCAGGAGGCACAGTTCAGAATCAAACTCCCAACCTCTGACTTTGCAGCCACATACCTAAACCACAGACCTATCCAGCCAGCACACAAACTCTCTCTCCCCCCTCCCTCTCTACAACTTCTATGTAGAGCTTAGAATACTGGATAAATAGCAGAAACAGGGAAATCACCTTGTTGCTATTAGTGTTTAAAATTAAAAACATTTAATTAAATGTATTTAGACTTACATTGCCCAGAAGCCTTAGATAACACAGCCAGCAATCAATTAGTCTTCTGGGAATTTTAGTCTAAGACCACCATAAGCCTCAATATTGGGCACCTTTGCCCCATAGAGGACCAGCTGACCAACTGATGATAGCTGGTTTGGCCTCTGCAGAGGCCATATGCCACTCCATTTCCTCAAAGGGAAAAACACCTATGTTTCCCTTTCAAAACTACATTTATACCAATTAAACCAACCTTATCTAGGTAACTGCATTTTGATTGCATTTCAAATTTGCTATAGCAACAATGAATACAACAACGGAGTGTAATAATTGTGCTCTGCCGTGATGAAAGATTATCTGTATCAGTGAAATCAAAGATCTTCCAGTTAGTACAGGTAAAATTGGTGAAGACAAACTTTACAAATTTACTTAGGATTATATAGTATTTCCATTTTAGGGTTTGTATTTACAGTTCCCAACACTCAACAGAACCCTGATGCCACCCATGGAAATGAGTGGCTAATGAATCCATTCTGAGTTTTAATCTGAACTTTAAAACAGCATGGCACTTTTTTTTTTTGGGTGGTGGTGGATAGGGTTCAGCACCTTGGATAGCTGGTGTAACATTTGGACTAAAACTCCCAGGCATGTTGTTTCTAAGAGGTAATACAGAGACAGATCTATTGAAGTGTAGCTGAACATCCACGTACAGTCTCACAAATGGACTGTTGGGCTTTTCTTTCAAGGCTGTACTTGAATGTAACTAGAGATGTGCATATTATATACACATATCTTTCTGATATAAGGTTTGCCCTCCTATGTTTTAGCCTCCCAGTTAACTTCAGTTCTGTTCTATGCTTCAACCGGCAGTCCTCTAAAGACATCAACTTTGTCAAAACAGATTGCCTGATTTCAGTCGCCCTCACTGCCCGTGCCGAGCGAGGCAGGCATCCCCAATGCTGCAGCCAAAAGCAAACATTACTCTGTGAGCAAACCAAAAAGCAATTGACTTACCAACTGGAAGGGGGAGAAAATCCTTTCATCAACACGACTGGTACACTGGTTGCAAAAGGGCTGAATCATACCTTTCTTTCATTCTACATCTCAGGCACACCCACAAATGGACACACAATTTCAATACCCTCTTTTCTGACAGACGGCACATTACGTAATAAAATTGGTAAAGGGGTAATG